GCTATATCATTCAGCACTTACGAGTTTTCAAAGAAGAAAGGTGGGGACCCAGCCTGGGTATTACATTGACTATAATATTGATATAATGTCCGAGGTATGTATACAGTTCATACGCTTAGGATGAAAGCCCTCAGTTGCCTTAACAGTACATCCTAAGTTTTGATGGAGGCCCTCAGTTGCCTTAGAAATATCCATCAGAGTGTGCGCACGTATCCGATCAGATATCGGCCAGATTACAGATTCAGTTTCATTTACTGGAACAGATTCCAGTCCAGATATATACCGATGATCATGATATTGTATTATTATTGTTGTTTACTTTAGTATGGATTATTTTGGGGTACAAAAGGACCAGTACTCACCCCCATTGTGTTTTTCAGGTAACAAGGCCGGGCCGGAGGTGTGAGCTCGAATGTGGTGGTGATGGTCGTGCACTTGTGGACATTTAATTCATGAACTACTATGTCTATATAATTATTCAAGTTTTTAAGTATTTTCGCTACGCATATCAAGACTTGAACTTGCATGTTATTAAATTTCATATCTCAGACTTTAATCATTTCAGAAGTATGAATATGGTTCAGTTTACATGTGAGTTTAAATAAATCTGTTTTCTTTATGTCTAAACTAGTAAGTTAGACAAAATTTAAAGATAAATGGATTTTTAGAAATGATAAGTTTGAGTAGTATCCCGAGTTAAGAGAAAAATATTTCGAAAAATTTATAAGTAATTTCGAAGTAAAAGTTGCGAAAAATTTACTCTAATAAGCGGGGTGTTACAGGTGGTAGAAGACGTTCCTGTTCGTGGAGGAAGGCTTATTGTCCCCGTGGATTTCGTTGTTTTAGATGTGCGGGACGTGCAAGAGAACGGGAAGGATCAAACAATCCTTCTAGGCAGACCATTCATGGCCACAACCAACAATCTCATTGACATGAAGAACGGGACATTAAATATGACGGTCTTTGGCGAGTCAGTATCGATTTTCATTCGAGAAACAACATCAGCATCCTCGGTGAACTGTGGAGGAGTGCGCCTTTGTTGATGTAACAAACCCGTTCGTTGGAGAGACAACCATACGAGACTTAGAGCAGAGGCTAATCCTCGACTTAGACGATGAAGAAGGGCCAACCATTGAGCTCTTTGAAGCCAAAGAGTCCCATGCACAAAGTCCACCCACATTAGAGCTTAAGTAACTACCTCGTCATCTCAAATATCTTTGACGACGAGAAGCAAAATCCTATCATCAACTTTGCGAGCTTAACCGGGACGAGTAGAAAGAGCTAATTGATGTGCTCAAGAGGAATCAGAAGTCCATTGGGTGGAGTCTCGGTGACATCAAAGGCATCAGTCCCTCCACGTGCATGCACTGGATCATTTTAGAAGAGGGTGCCAAACCATTTTGAGATAGTCATTGGCGGCTCAACCCGAACATGATGGAAGTGGTGAAGAAAGAGGTGTTAAAGCTCTATTCAGAGGGGCTTTTTTATCCAGTGGCATATAGTGAGTGGGTTAGTCCAATTCACGTGGTATCGAAGAAAAGAGGAATCACTGTGATCGAGAATGATAAGAAAGAGTTGGTCCCCACTCGCATAACTACCTGGTGGAGAATGTGCATCGATTATCGTCGACTCCATGCCGTGACAAAAAAAGACCATTTCACGTTGCCGTTCATTGACCAGATCCTCGATCGTCTCTCGGGCCACCAGTTATATTGCTTTCTCAACGGTCTCTCCGGCTACTACCAAGCAGCCATAGCACCGGAGGATCAACCCAAGGCGACTTTCACGTGCCCATTCGACACATTTGATTTCAGACGGATGCCGTTCGGCCTATGCAATGCACCAGGGACTTTTCAGATGTGAATGTTCTCCATCTTCTCCGATATGCTTGGGGATTACTTACAGGTATTTATGGATGACTTCTCAATATTTGGCACTTCATTTCTAATTGTCTCCATAATTTATCTCATGTCCTTGAGAGGTGTATTGAGTCTAACTTAACTTTGAATTTGGAGAAGACTCACTTTATGGTGAAAAGTGGAGTCGTGTTGGGGCATGTCGTGTCTAGTCGGGGGATTGAGGTTGATAAAGCACAGATTGATGTGATTGAAAAACTTCCCCCGCTTGTGAATGTGAAAGGAGTGAGGAGTTTGCTGGTTTCTATAGGAGGTTTATAAAAGATTTTTCAAAAATTAGCCAGCCTTTGAGTCACTTGCTTGCTAATGATGTGCCTTTTGTCTTTGACGACACATGTGTAGATGCTTTTAATGAATTGAAAAATAAGCTTGTGACTGCTCCAATTGTAATAGCTCCTGATTGGTCGTTGTCGTTTAAGATTATGTGTGATGCGTTGAATCTTGTTGTGGGAGCCGTTTTGGGTCAACGAGTTCATAAATTACTTCGTGTAATCTATTATGCTAGTTTGACTCTTAATGGGGCTCAATTAAACTATACTACCACCGAAAAAGAGCTACTAGTCGTAGTATTTTCTCTCGAAAAAGTTTGATCCAACATCTTGGGATCTAAAGTGATTATTCATTCTGACCATGCTGCTTTGAGGTATCTTTTGAGCAAAACTCAATCGAAACCAAGGCTCATTCGGTGGATATTGCTTTTGCAAGAGTTTGATGTAGAAATTCGTGATAGAAAGGGTTCTGAAGATGTAGTAACTGACCATTTGTCTCATATTGTTCCTTCTGATCATTCATTCACTTTGCATGATCACGTTGGTATAAATGATAGTTTTCTCTATGAGCATGTGAGTGAGGTGATTAGTGTTCCTTAGTATGCAGACATTGTCAACTATTTATCAGATGGAGTTTTGTTGTCTACCTTCTCTTCCCAAGAGAGGAAACGTTTTGTTTTGATGTTCAGGAGTTACTTTTGGGGTGACCCATTCCTTTTCAAGATGGGGAAAGATGGAGTCCTTTGGAGGTGTGTGCCCGAAGAAGAACATGCAGAGGTCCTTGTTTTTTGCCACGAGCTTCAATGTGGAGGACATTTTCGAGGTCGAAAGACCGCCTTGAAGGTTCGCCAATCATGTTTATTCTGGACGAACCTTTTTAAAGATGCTTATAATTTTGCAAGTCTTGTGACTGTTGTCCCAGGATTGCAAATATTGGCCCCAGAAATGAGATGCCCCTCGTAAACAATCTTCAAGTAGAAATTTTTTATTTGTGGGGCATTGATTTCATGGGACCATTTCCCAAATCCTTTGGCTTCGAGTATATTCTTCTTGCCGTAGATTACGTGTCCAAGTGGGTTGAGGCTATCCCCACAAGGACATGTGATGCTAAAGTGGTGATCAAGTTTTTGCAAGGTTATATATTGAGCAGGTTTGGATTTCCACGGGCAATCGTGAGTGATGGAGGCAAGCACTTTTGCAACCGATTTTTTGAAAAGCTAATGAAGAAGTACGACATTTCGCATAAGGTGGCCAACCCATATCATCCACAGACTTTGGGCCAGGCAGAGACAAGAAACATGCAGATCAAAACCATAACAGAAAAAAAAATGAAATTGTCTAGCAAAGATTGGTATAATCAGCTTGATGGTGCACTATGGGCCCAAAGGACGGCATACAAAGGAGTCTTGGGGATGAGCCCATTCAGACTTGTCTATAGGAAATCGTGCCACCTCCTGGTCGGGATCGAGCACAAGGCGTTCTGGGCGATTAAAAAGATGAATTTTGATCTTGATGCCGCTGGAAGAGAGAGAATGTTGCAACTCTCGGAATTCTAAGAATTAAGGAAAGAGGCATATGAAAACTCCAAGATCTACAAGGACAAAGTAAAAAAGCTTCACGATGCTTCTATTGTCAGGAAGATCCTCGTACCCAGCATGAAGGTCCTCTTATTTACTTCCCGCCTTCGATTGTTTCCAGGAAAGCTCAAGTCCCGGTGGAGTGGTCCGTATATCATTGATGAGGTGTTATCATTTGGAGCTGTCCGATTGCATAATCCTGCAAACAACGAGCTATTTATGGTTAACGGGCAAAGAGTGAAGCCATATTTCGATGGAGAGTTCGGAAAGCGCCATGTCGAGACCATCAGTCTCGGCGACCGAACATATGTCTTATCAAGTGTGTACTGAGCTCCTGGCTATAAACCGAGCAATTATTTGTACTGCTCTCTCTCTCTATATATATATATATATATATATATAAATTGAATTGATTTTTTTTTTGGGACACTGGCAGGGTGCTAGGGTGGAAAATTTAGCGCCGCTAGGATGCTAGCGGGCCACTGAACCTCGGAATTTATGTACCATAGCGCTTGGAAATATAATAAAAAAAAAAAGAGACGGGCAAATGGACTTATTTCTCGAACACAATCATCTCTCTCTCAAGTACAAACTCTCTCTCCCAAATCTCCTCCACGTCCAACCACCCAACTTCTGGCAACCGACCACTGACCCAAACTTTAGCAAACGACCACCGACTCGATTTCCGGTGACACACCGGTCATCTCTGTCCAACCACCCATTATTGAGGAGCTCTTTGAAACCGTAGCTCGTGGAAAACTTGATTATTTCCAGCCGAAATTCACTCCAAAGGTATGATTAGCTTCCCCCACGTTGAGAATTGTTGACTTGTGTGGCATGAGGAGGTCGACTCCGAGTTCTACCACGTCATATTGTTTCAAAGCTCTCAAGCCTACACCCCGCCCACCAAGTGCTCGACGAATTGCCTCAATAAAATAGGAGAAACTACGGGTAATTCGAAGAAGAAGGGTGCCTCTACCTTGAGGAACTTGAACCCCGAACCGGCGATTGAAATGTCGACTCTCTCTCAAAATCATAGCGTTCCATTTGAGGTGGTTTCGATGGATGAGGTCACGACATTTAAACGTCTTGACTTGAAGCCATTCTGGGCTCCCCCTTTTCTCGACAGGGACCTCCTTTAGGATGTTCAAATCAAGGAGGTTGTCAAACGCCACTTCTCGTTGCTTGACCTCGAATACTTTGAGGACGTTTCCCCACGGGCCTACCGGACATTGACTATGGAGTTTTTCTCCACGATTGCTATGCACGATCAAGCCAAGTACCTGACAGCTCAGCTCAAAGGTAAAGAATACAAGATCACAGGTAAGGTACTATGCGACATTTATAAGTTCACGACTAAAGAACCACGCGCAAGTCCGATGGGATTCAAGGTCGACCCGCATTGGGTGCTTTTATCTCCGTGTGAGCAATTTAAGAAGATGGTGGCATCTTCCGGTTTGATCTCGGACGTGGTTCACAAGTACCTTTGTCACATGATCTTCGGGAAACAGGAATCGAACAAAGTGAGTGAGCAGCAGATGCTCAGTCGTTATCACAAGGAAAACCGGTTTGCATGCTTCAATACCTTAAGAATGCTCTCATGGACACGCGGCGAGATGTACGGTGAGGAGCGAACTTGAACCACATAGTGTCAGAGATTTTCGAGCATTTCAGAGTTCAGGCTAACGAACCGAGCATCTTTGCCGAGTGGATAAGTGTGAAGGAACTCCACCATGCTCAGTTCATCGTGAATCGCTAAATTGTTCCCGTCCACGAACGAAAAAGCTATTACATCTACCTTCAATAGTTGAAGAAGACGGCTTCAGCCACCGGGTCGTCCCAAACGACAGCGGGTACGTCGGGTGCTCCCGTTCAGACAACACCTCATGGCATCGGCGAGGACGACGCAGATGCCAAAGACCGACCTGATCGCGAGGCCTCTCAGAACTTACCTTCGAAGTCGAGGCAAACCGATGCTTACTCCGAGCAGGCTCCAGTCTGATTCTCCGATTATCAGGCAAGGAACGACGAGCAGCTGAGAACGATACATGCCGACGTGATGTCGCACAATGTGAGGCTCGAATCGTACATAGAGAAAAATGATACACAGTGGAAGGCCTTCGTTAAGTCCAATAATGGACGTTGGACTGAGCAGAGCAAGCGATGGAACGAGTTGGTGCAGAACAATGAAGAGCACTGGACGGCTCATGATAGCCGATGGGATACATGTGAAGCTCAGCAGTTTCAGCAATGGAATGCTTGGGACAAACGGTTCGACCAATGAAATACCTGTTGGAGTGCGGGTAGCAGTCACCCTCCACCTACACCACCAGACGCACAGTGACTTTTCCCAGTGCTTTGTACATTTTTCTTTCTCTTTCTTTTTTTGTTCTGTGTAGTGTCTTTATTTAGAGTCGGTTGATTATGTGGTCTAACTCTCCTGCACTAAAGATCGACAATGGGGACATTGTCTGGTTTTAAGTGTGGGGGAATTTTTGCAAGCTTATGTGACTACATGGTTGACTAAGTCTTGTTTTTGGTTTTAGATTGTTTTTTATTTATTTTCTCTTGCTTGGTGGACCGGTCTAGTATTTAGGTTTTTTGTGTTTCCGGTATGGACTGTGTTGTATTGTAGGATTGGTTAATAATTGTTGATTGAGTTGAGGAGTTGTGATGATGAGCATGAGTGTCGCATCTTGATGAATTTCTTGGTTGTTTTGATTTACATTTATCCACCTTGTGAGATTTGAGCCACATTCGTTTCTTGTGAGACATTGGTCGGAATCTTTTTCAATTAAAATTTGTCTTGGGTCTACTTTGAAATGAATCAATTGGATTTGTGTAACGTGAATATGATTGAGGTATTCCTTGTATATTCATTCCTTTTTTCTTCATTCGAAAATAACACCCACTAGTCGCCCCTTCGAGCCTTATTTAATTTTTATTGATAACCTAGTAATGATGACGTTGAGGAGTTGAGGGTTGAGAATTGGAGGTGATGATTGATGGAGTTGTGTATATATAACTTTAAAAAAAATGGAAGTCGAATGGATTATACTCTAAGTGCTCTGGCCACTAATGTTAGTGGACACGAGTAATGAGTGCGGGAAACCGGTCTAGGAGACTCGGGCAGAAAACCCGAAGGCTAAACCTAGATAAAATGTCCAAAAGGTTTCCATAAAAAAGAAAGATGAATAATGTGGGAAGCGTGTTGGCTTTTGAGGATGTGGGAGGAACCGGTTGGTGTTCGACAACCGGAAGAGTTCTTGATCACGATTAGGTGATTGAACTGAGTTGAGTTGATTTTATTGAGCCATTAAGCCTATATTTATCCTACACGATCCAAAGAACCCACGTTACATCCCTATAAGTCCTCTTGATTCACTATATCATGATTTTGATTGTTTTAGAGTAAAGGTTAGACGATAGGCAAACTTATGATTGATTTGATTGACGACCAATTTGAGTGCACCAGTATTTTATTTGTAGAAGAAACTGAGTGAGGCACATATGTTTTAATTTCGTACTCGAGAGTCTGTGTTCTTCAAAACATAGTGGCCAAGCAAGTAGTTGAGGTGTCCTCTTGTAATCATTGGAATTCTTCTAGACTTGGTTGATTAATTGGAGACTAGTCTTGCTTGAAACTGATGTCCTTGCTCGTTTGCTTGTTTTCTTTTCTTTTCTTTTCTTTTCTGTTCTTTTTGTTCGGGATGAACAAAGGTTTAAGTGTGGGGGAGTTTTTTGTCCCATTTGTGTTGCTATTTTTGTTGGTATTTTGTTAGTCTTTTCCCCCATTTTAGGTCGTATTTTAGGGTTTTCTGGTCCTTCTAGTCGTTTCTCGTATTTTTATTGATATTTTGGTGTGTTCTGTACTTTCGTTGTTCTTCTTCCTATTTTCCTTATTTTTCGTGCTTTTTCGGTTGTGGTGGTTTCAGGTTTTAGATTGACCGGATGATGATGAGCATTCAGACGTGAGGAGAAGTGTGTCGTCCAGGTTTCTAGGAGTTCCCATCGTTTCGTGTGACCAAAACACAAAGGAGTCGAGTTCCCAGCTCCGGCGGAACCCGAGAAATGCTAGCTGAGAGCAAGCAAATCGAGAACGTCATATTTTTTAAGTTGTCCAGACCCTAGCGCCGTTAGGGTCCCTTAGCACCGCTAGGGTCCATTAGCGCCGCTAGCCTCTGCTGTCTAGCGGGCGACTGAAGTTGTGGTGATTTTGGCCCTAGTGCCGCTAGGGTCTGTTTTTCAGCAGTTGCATTTTTCTCGTGATTTCTGAAGGCAAGCTTAATAGATCGAGTTAGGCAGATTTTAGTGATTCCCAGACATTGTATTTTCAGTTTTTTCTTCACCTAAAACATATTTTCTCTCTTTGGTTTGGTTTTGATTGGATTTTGGAGAGTAAAACCACCATTCTATCTTTCGGATTTGGTTTGTACTCAAGATTTGACATTCGTTTTCGCATCAATAGTAAACTTGTCTTTTCGTTTGCTTACGATTATAATGGTTTGCGTTGATGTGATTTTTGGTGTTGAATACATGATGAGTGGCTAAATTCGTTCGCTAGGGATAGTAGATAATTGATTTAGTTTGTTTTCAATTTCGTGTTTGTCGATATTCAATCTTTGAGAGTTGTGCTTATTTTAGGGTTAGTTGATTGATCACCATTCTAACCTTGTTAATTGACTTTTAGAACCGAAAGGGGAGAAGTTAATCGATCTAGGCTCGTTTAGATTTGTTAGTTGACCGTTTACATTTTACTCTATTGTTACGAAGAGTTATTGAGAGTGAACCTTTGGACGAGTAAACGATTCAAGTCTTTTAACCTAGCAATTGATTGCCCGGTAATTGTGTCAGGAACAGAAAACGATTATCCCCGACTCCCTAGCTCTTTTACCATTGATTGAATTTGTTTGGAATTGGAAATTCGTTTTACATTGTTTGAGAATTGCTAGTAGTTAATTGAAACAAAAAACAATCGAATTAGAGTGTTTAGGATTTGTTTTTTTTTTTTTGTTTCTTTTTTTGTGTGATTGAATATTCGCACAATTTAATCCAGCTAATCTTCCTTGAGACACGACTCGGGGATTGAATCTTTTGATGTAACTACAACAATCACACCCTTCCTCATGACACAAGAAACAACAAGGTACAAAACTCAAAATACACAAAACAACTAGAAGAGAAGACACATGAAGAAAACGACCTAGCCCACAAGGGTATGTCTACAACGAACACATTAAGATGAAATTTGAATACTCTATTACAGGAAAGAAGATTGATAATTTCCTTGTGATGGAAGCAATGCTCCTCCAACCTTCCTTCAATGAATTTTCCAAAGCCCATCTGATGGTAAATAAAGCAATGCTCTCACTTCTCCCCACAAAAGAAACCTCATCTACCAATCTCTTTGATCACTTGGTTATGGAGAATGGCAATAGCTCTAAGATTGATCAGCCCAGTGGAGGAAGTGGTGGCAATGACATTAACACACAAAGTCCCACCCCGAGAGAAAATTTTTCTCCACTTTGATGTCTATCTCTAACCATAAGCATTCTATCTACAGCCCCTAACCATATAATCCCCTAAATTCTAACCGTTCCATCTTGGCCCCTTCAACCAATTCCCTCTCTCCTATTAGGTTTTTCATAAACACCCAATAATTTCTAGTCTTCCACATCCAGCACATAATATAAGATGATAAACTAATTCTATCTATGATCGACTTGAGAAGACCCTGCACAATATATTCCCCCACTAATTCTGGAATGAATTGTTAGTTATCAGCCATTTTGGTCAATTTCACTTGACTTCAAAGATACCTAGAACCAATGTAAACTGGGAAAGTTTCAAAGGATATTATTGTCCAAAAAGATATCTTGTCTTGGATTGGAAAAAACAAAACAAAAAAACAAAAAAAGTATCATATTCATATGGCTTCTTCTCCTTGGAAATGTTATTGTTCAGTTGTTCCACTCTCTGTGTCTCCACTCTCCACCCAACCCGTCACCCTTTAATATTATTAGTGAAGAGAAAATATGTAAACAAAAGATTGGGCGGTAGATGCATGAGTAAAATAGCAACCTACTTGGGGTTTATTTCTATATATATTATTTTGTAAAATCATCTACCTCTCTTTCTACTTAATCACTGATCTCTCTCTCTCTTTCATTCACCAATCACCATCCCCTTTTGCGATCCCACAAAAATAAAAACCTAAAACTTGTCCAGGATTCTCGATTTTCCCAAAACTGCTAGTATTAT